TGCAGTCCCGCTGTAAGGGCCAACTGAGCCTTTAACAACTGCTTACAGTGGTAGCGCATGATAGGGGCTTGGCTGTGCGCCCGTTTGGGGTTCCCTTGAAGCACTTCCTGGCAAATTGGGTTGCAGCCCGTCAATGGCCGCCTTCTTACCAGGCCTACGCCCTTGGGCCACTGCGCCCAGGATACCTGAGACTGGGAAGCATCTCAGCTGCTCTGGGGAGCCCATATCTTAAGGCTTTGACTCGGTTGCTCGCGACTGTTCTCACTATTAAGGGCGAAGGCCGTCGCTGCATGTGGTAGGCTTGCATGGTTCTGGGGCAGCTGCGAAGAGCTAACATCGCCAGCACAGTTGGCCGGCCTGGTATATTGCATTGGTTGGTTTCGAATACGCCATTGGAAACGAAATATCTAGATATTCCGTCCAAAATCTTTGACGAAGTTCGAGCCCTTCTCTCCCACTGCAAGATGGAAATTCGGCAAGATCTGCCTCCCCGTGGAAGAACGGCGAACGGCTGGGCGCCTCGTCGTATTGGGACAAGCGCCGAATCTTTACTCCATCCAACGTGAAGTGGATTTACAACAAAAATAACTCAGGAAGAATGCCTCCACCGTTGCCGAGCGTTCTGCAATGGCGAGCACGGCAAAACAGGCCTCACCCCGCCAACTCGGGAAGGAGGCACGGACAATTCCATTAGTGTTTACAAGTTGTTTCCCATAGTTCATTTGGGTTTTAGGTCTCCCGGCCACTTTATGTACTGTTCGCATTTGTGGCCTCTGCGCATCTTTCCACGTGCGTCCATGATATCGTCCACCGTCTGGTCCTTCTCGCAATGGCTTTGATGGTGCCCTGTGGAGAGAAGGCGTAGGAGTTTAAATGGAAACGTTTCGGAGAAAATTTGCCAGTATTCTCCGCTCTCACTGAACTCGATTAGGGAACGAAGCCAAAATATCTAGTGATTCTCTCTACCACAACCCAGATGCTACTTCAGTCTGTCTGATGATAAACCCATCATGGAATTAATTGATATACCATCCTAATTTCTTCGCAATCAATAGACTGAAAAAGTCCGGGTATAAGAGTGTCCTGCGGCTTTCTCTGAGGGAGTGCCTGACGAGCGAAGAGTCGCTTGTAGGGTAGCTTTGTCCCTCTTCTCAGGGGAGTACCCTACGCCATCCGATGGAACTGGCTACCGGCTCCACTGTTGTGTTGACCGCGTAACAGCCTGAGAATGCATGACCGCGTATGATCCACCGAGTTTGCGCTTCTTCTGGTAACACAAACTCACCCTCGGTACTGTAGTGCTTAACACGCCATTCGTTGGTGACCTTGGCATGCTCAGCAGCGCCTTGAGTATATACAGCAGGACCTTCGCGCCATTTGAGAAGGAAGTGGGAATCATCGCAGACAATAGCTGTTGCGGAATAAAAATGCTGAGCGGAAGGGAGCTGGTAGAGTCAGTTATCGAACACGGCAGGAAAGATGCTGTGGTGAAATGGCCCGATGAAAAAGTCCAGTATCACAACCGCATTTTACATCCTTAGCTTTACAGATCCTCTTGTTCCGTCTGCCACTAGCGAAACGTAGTCTCATTAGCAGCTCAAACGAATGGGCAAGTAAGTCGCCCTCCCTAGCAATAGCTTCAGATATCACATTGGCTTCATATCCCGTCTCAAATGCCACTTAGCCACTGCTGGGCAGTAGCACAAACTCTAGAGAGCACATGGTTGAGTCAAAGTGGATATAGAGGTGCCGCTGTCACCGCTTTCGGCCTCATCACTAAGCCGCAAGTCGCGTACTGGCCATGGGGTTTGCCTGAGCGCTTCCCTAGTCATACTTCCGGAACTGCTCAAGCCTTGTCTCTCCAGTCCCCGATCCCTCTCTTTCTGCGTCTGCAATATCCAATTGCGCGACCTTCCTTGGTGCAAAAAGGCAAAAACGCTGCTCAGTACTCGTCCCTCGGTTTCCGGTTCCCTGGGCCGCCGGCTGCCGTATGTTCTTGCTTCTTTTCTCTTTCTGAACAAGCCTGGCATTTACACCCCGAATCTCCACAGGTTCTCTACCTCGGTCGTTTCCATACCCGTTCCCCGCCGCCTACAAGGCAGCGGAAATGATGTCTTTCCACCCTTCGATGCGTCAGCGCACGATCATCCCGGCGCTGTCTACCCTTTTCGCTCCTTGGTTGTCTTTCCACTGCCCAGCCCTTTGTGAGCAGCCGCTTTGGAGGAGTGCCCTGCGATGCACCATTGACACACAAGCTCCGAGCCCACCGTTGGATTTCTGTACAACATAACTGATACTTTTTCGTATAACATTCAACCGATAAGTTCTTTCGTTCTGACTTTTTTATTTCTGCCGTAGCCTGTTCCTTGCAGATCGGAGGATAAACCCGCACACCTCGACAAGCCTCCATAGTCTGGATACGCTACGGAAAAGTTCTGCCCTTGCGTAGGCATAGCTACCACTATCTTGCTTCCCCTTCTAAAGAAGATGTACTTGCAGTTGCAGCTGCTCAGGCGCATTTTGAAGACAAAAGCATACATCACGAGACCCAAGGAACTTTTTTACTGCCCCCGCTTTGCTTCGCCTGTCACATTTGGCCCGTCGGCAAAGGCGAAGACACCTGTGAATTTTCTAGGAGCAGATGATTCCTTTCCGGCTGGCTCCTCATATTGTACATCGTTTCCCTGTGACGAGACGCCTAGCTGTTGGCCGCCTCCCCACCAGGGTGCAGATCCTGATCAACTTCCACTTTGCGAGAGGAAGAGGGTTAAATTTTTTTTAGCTAATATTTAAAGATTTTCCACTCAAAGAGCTCCCGCTAATCAGTCTTTTGCACCAGGCCTCCTAGCTAGGGGGGGTGAATTTCGCTGTTCGCGCGTTCCCCAGTGAACCATCCGGGGCAGCCAAGTGTAAAGAGAACCCACCATCTTAGAGGACCGTCGTGAGCTGCAAAAGGGTCAAAAAGACTCAAGAGCATAATTCCCACAAAGTACATGAATTCACCTTGAGTTTACAGGTGTCCTGGGGACAGGCTCGAGGGCTGGGGAGGGAAAGCGCCTGCCCAACAACGCAACGGAGTTGCAACGCAACTCGCTACAACACCTGGCGAAAGCAATCCCAGACGCAAGGGTCACCAGCCCCACTTTCGATGCGTGCGCTAACACTGTAGGCACTTGTTTAATACTGAAGTGCCCCAAACCGACCAGCCTGCACGCAAGTAGTTGTATACTTACCTACCAGACCATGCTTCACATCGAACGCGCTTCACCGGTACAAACCCACATGCAAGCGTACCCGAGCCCCCTTTTTCATGCGTGCACTAAAACATCATAAAACTGGTAAATAGTTGCTAAGCTTCCACTAGCCAGCATTCCGACGAATATAGATGAATACACCTACATGACAGACCACGCTACACCGGCAGTGTCAGCGCTGCGCAGACAGGGGGCTTGGCTAATAACCGGCACCAGCTGCAAAATAAATAGGAGGTGAGTCATAGTGTAGGTTTCAAGAAGAACAAATGGTGTACGAAGCCTTGCCGCAACTCTAGAGATTGCGTTGCCTCCCCCCACTCATGCGTAAGCAGAATGGGCGGGGGACCGCTGATAAACAGTCTCTGAAGAGGTCCCGTAGATATGCGGTGCACTAAATGGAAAATATCTCAAACCCATCCAGGAATACGAGCTTTCCAGCGTGAATAGCCCAAGTGTTTGGAAGCCCTACCAGCTTGGGAGTCACCACCCCCCAGCAGCAGCCCGTGCCTCTGCTTGAACGTGAGCTCCAGTTCCCCTGTAGATGATCAGTGGTATTTGCCGTATCTTTACCAGCTTGTTTTCCGGAATTAATCTGTAGTCGAGGACACCACGATACCGCGAGCTCTTTTTCCACGGAATCCTTGAAGCATCGAAGCGTTTCCTACACGTCGGAGCATCGCCTGCTTTCAGCAGGGGTGCGGGTTCCGTGAACTAATGGGTTTATTTCTCCAGTAGGGTCTCATATTGAGATGGTATGAGAATGGGCTGCTTATCTTGACGTGCGGGGCTCGCCTTATCTTCCTCATCCGGTGTACTTTCAGCTCCTGTGGCTGCCTGCCCCTCACGGAGTCAACAAGGTCGATAGATGTTTCTTTATGGCTGCTGAAGTCTTCTGCTGTAACTCCGGCTATGTGGATCACGCCCTATCCTTTCAAATAGTTATTTCGTGGCGGGTTTTATCTCGTTTTGTCCCACGAGAGGACGCTAAAATCAGCACCAGCAGCCTGCATGGGTTCTCCAAAAGTCCGGGCTCACAAGGTTTATCTTGCTTCCACCTACCGGCTCAGCGGATGCCTCCATCTTCCCGAAAACCCGTTTCCTATTTACCTGGTGTACTACTGACTCTAGAACTCCCTGGGGGCCACACTGCTTCAGACAGCTCTTTTCTGCTTAGGTGAATGGCGGTGCAGAGGACCTTCAGGTACCTGCAGCCTAAGTAAGATTGTGTTCTAACGTCTGAGAATAGGTTGGCGCAGCATTTGTTCCCAGCCCAACGTGCAGCGACCTCCAGCATTTGAGGAGCTTGCAAATATTCACCTTTTCCTTTGGGAAAGTTCCCGGAGCCTTTTCTGGATGATAGAGTGACAGAAGAAGAACGATCCGTTAATGTTGTTCGAGGCAGTCTGTTTCTTCTAGGGACCTCTGAAGGCCCACCTGGTTTAGTGTTTGTGTTTTAAAATCAAATGCGCATCTGCCGCAACGCTCCTTTTGAAGTACAACTGCAGATTTTATTGACTGCCAGTACTGTTCTGCGTAATTAGTACCCCTAGATGCATTTGAATTGTATTGTGTGCACGAGGATATTTTGGCTGGGAATCCCGTTTTGGCGTCGACCGACGCGTCGAATCTTGCCACCTTCCCAGCATAACTGTACTACTGGAGGTTAGCTGGGTTGTTGTTGCCCCGAGTGCAACGGAACGGAAGGCGATGAACTAGGAACAGCGATACAAGCGTCAGCTAATACCTATGCGCGAATATCCGCGTGCCGCCCCTGCGGCAGGCAATGAGCCAAAATGCAACAGCCCACGGACTCTTGTTTCTGCACCAGAGTTGGTGGAAGTCAGCCCGCTGATGCGATCATGCATTTTTGGGTTTAACACTCATGTGGCGGAACTTCCCTCTTCTGCTACGGATATTAAGGCCGAGGACTCGTCCCTTTTAATGTCTCAAGAAGGGGAAACAGCATCCGAAATGGCTGTGCGACGTGCTCTATTCGCTCACCTACCGGAGGAGCTTAAATGTAACACAAGTTTGGACGAGGGCGCCGGCACTAATGGGAGCAGGTCGCATGCCTTGCTTCGGACACCCTCCGCAGATGCACACCGTGAAGATCCTACTGCCTTGGCACAAGATGGGGGGTCTCCGCAGCAATTCAACGGAGTCCTTCCTTCTGAGTTGCGCGCCCGGTTGACGGCCTTGAGCCACGAAGTCGCCACACGACAGACAGATTGCAAGGAGTCCCGTTTTACTACGAGACCAGCATGCAGAAAGGGACGCCATGCCATCCGCAAGGCAGCGGTTGCAATGCATGCTGCACACCCTTTTGTGGAGTTGGAACATCGATTCAGTGGCTCCCCACGCAGCGCAACACCGCCGGCCACTCCCACCTGTGCGGATGACAAGACATCTGTGCTTCTGAGCCCATGCGACATCAGGGCTGCGAGTGATGCACGGAGCCCTAGGGAGTCTGAGGATGGTAGTGGGCCTGCCAAGGGAGCGCTGTTGCAGGCATTGGGCATGGCTATTCAAAAATTAGACGATGTAAGCAGCTGCACACGCCGAACTTGGGTGCATTACTTCAGGTGTCCACCTTGTCTCTGTGCAACTCCAGCTGGCAGTAGCTGCGTCGTAATGCAGTCTCAAAAGCAGTGCTTCTTGCGTGACTGTGACCTTGCCTTTTTCCTCTTCAGAATGGCACTGCAGACCCCCGCTGCTCTCCTGTTGGCGAATCATGCTTCGTAGTTCCGCCAGCTGCCTCATTGCCTTCCGCGGAAGGGGGGTGTGATGGTAGCCTACACGCCAGCGACGTCGCGGCTTCACTTGAGGTGTCAGACGTTGAAAAGGACGTTTCACCAGGAGCACCTTTCTTCTGTGGATCTACATTTGCGTTGCCTCACTTTGCGGATGGCTCTTGCCAGCAGACAGAGGATATTATTGAACCTGTACGAAGCTGGACTTCCATTGGGGACAAGCCGGCCACTACCGGAAGTGGTGGTGCTGGCGCAGTACGGGTAGGCATGTTGTGCAACACACAGAGTGGCAGTCGCAGACTACAGCGGATGAGCGTCAAGTTCTGCTCTTAGTAATGACCCTTTTTTGTCGTCGGTAGCGTAGCCACTTCTTGGGGTAGTTGTATGTTCGCCGCTTTGCGTTGCAGCTTCCACTGGATGCAGGAGGTGTATTTTCAGAAGTTCAGTTGACCATCCTCACACTAATCGAGGACCTTCATAGTGCGACATGCTGCTGTGCCGCTGCCTCGAACCCGGAACCGTGCAGTTGCTGTATCGGCGCGTCTGTCCTGCTGAAGAGCAAGTGGATGAACAATGCTGCGCTCACTTCAGTGCTACGGAATGCGGGGTTTTATGGGAAGGCAGCGTCGGCGCGAGAGTGCCCGGGAACGATATCTCAGCCGCACACAATTTTACGTGGTAGGAGCCCGTCTCCATTTCCTGCAAAGCGCTCACTTGCCGCTGGCCCTGACTCTGCAACATCCACTTCTGTTGATGAATGCCCAGCCCCGACTAGGTGCGCGGAGTCATCGCGGCGAATTGAAGGCCTTAGTTGGAATTCTTCCTCATGCCCAGACACCGTTTCAACGAGCTGTGTGAAGTATTTGACTTCGCCACGGACTTCTGCAAGGGCCACGGTCATGGATAGTGCTGAAGACAACGGGCACCTGCCCCCAGATGACTGCTATTCGGCTCATGAACGGCTTTGTAGCGGAACACCCACCAGACGTAGCGAAAAGGGCGCAAAGCATTCCGTTTTCCCCGCAGAAGCTCCAACATGCTCAGATGCATTAGCAGGATCGGGCATTAATTCTCCAAACGGCTCAGACAGCACGGATGGTATTCGGCCCACTAGCAAAGTGGGCGATGAGGGGCCTTCCGGCGGTAAAGAGGAACGAGAGGAGTCACTGCACCTTCTTTTCAGGCATCACGTTGCTGCTGTAACGTGTGCCGATCGGTTTGCAGAGCTCCTTCCCTATTCTCACATCTTCAGAGAGTGCGTAGGCACCTATCGCATGCCAGCAACTTTACCGGCACCGGCCCGTCACCTACTTGTGCAAGAACTACAGATGCTGCGTAGAGAACCTGATCGGCTTTTGATGCGTAATTCTTTTCAGTGGACGGAAGCAGCTGGAGCAGTATCATGCCTGGCTGATACAAAGTGCGGAGCTGCCGCTGATGCATTGCATTGCGAACGTATGGATATGGGTGCAAACGCATCTGGTCCGAACTCCAGCGGAGTGCGATCGGAGGGTCATTCTCATTCTCATGAAGATGGGAGCGCATTTCTAGCCTCAGCTGCTTTAACGGCAGCAGAGTCAGACACGGGACGGTATAGCAGCACATGGGCACCACCGCTGCCCCTGCTGGACCCTTCTGTCCTTCTTTGCGCCTCGGGAACAGAGTTGGCTGCCCAGAAGTCTGCGCTATTGAGGATACTGAGGATGCTGCGCTCGTTGGCGCCGACGTGGGCTGCACGTGACGACAATTTCGGGTTTCACTTCAAAGCGGCAATCGCGGCAAGATCACTGGATTCTTTAGAGCTGCAAAGCTATCGCGTTGTTTTCCAGTGTTTGTCTCCCTTCGATGCGAGGGAGTGGTCGCGCGACCAGCTCATGGAAGTCCTTAACGATCTCGACTGCATCCGTCTTGCCTACAGGCGTCGCCGGAATCTAAAGGCAAGCGTAGCGCGCGTCCAACGCCTGCTGGAGCAGCCTGATGTAGACCCGGCCGGAGAAGTGTGGCAAAGCACTGACGGTGCAGCGGGCCAGCGACATCAATGGGGTCCCAGCGGTGGTGTCTCAATTCAAACAGGTGACTTGGGGAACCCTCAAGGCCAACCGCGCGTTGTAGTGCGGGGTAGTCGAGATACCTATAGCGGCCAAGGTGCCCCAAATGCTTCAAGCCCAACGGGTTTGGGCCCAACCTCAGTAACTGCGAGGACGCAGCAAATGGGTGCATTCATGCAGCCAGTGTCGCTCCAGCAGCCGTCACCTACTAGTGGGGGGGGTAAAGCGCCACCCAGAACGGCTGGCCTTTCGGCCACTTGGCCCGGTGACAGAGAAGCCACAGCTTTCGTGGATGACGACGGTAGGCAGCTTCTCTTCTAATTGATAAGCATCTCGCCTGTACATTTGTGTGCGAAGAAATCCCCAAATTTACGTGTCAGATGGGCTTGGCTGCTGCAGCAGTGAAACGTTGTTGGCCACCTAGAGAATGGGTGGAAGCAGGGGATGTGTTGGACTTGTGAATTACTACACTTTTAGGGCATGCTGCTTTTGAAAGGACGAATGGACATGTGTTGCAATGGAATTTGTTATCTTTTGCAAGATAATTCTATTGTAGGTGCATGCTATTATTTAAACGCTCTGCTGTGGTGCAGGCTCTGCTGACATGCAGTCACTTTCTGCCGGAGGCGGAACATCTGGCGCCGCGAGCTCGGCGGTGTCCTCGGGTTTCGCTCGGAGGGGTCACTCGACAGGCTCAACAGTCGTTGCTCGGCGTAACGCTGCTGCGGTTTCCGATGCCACTGGCGGTGGAAAAGCTGGGAACAGCAGCCCGAACGACTGCCCAGTACGGCAACAATATGCCGTCCGGGCGGCGGAGCTGCCCAAAATAAAGGGAGTTTTTATTGGCAAAAAACATACTTGCTGGGTTGCGCAGTGGAATGATGCTAACGGTATGCTCTTGCACTTCACAACCCAGACATTACTTGCAGGTAGTTCTGGGTGCGTATTTGTCATCTTGTTGCCAGCTTTCATACTGCTTAAAGCGTACTGTTTGCGTTTTTCATATGCCCAAACTTTCCACAAGGGTTTGCAGCGGAGTTTCCTTAGTGGTCCGACTGCAGCTTTCGTGGTGTTTTTGATCTCGCCTCAGGCCAGCCTAGGCAAAGTTGTTTCAACATCAAACAGCACGGCTTTGAAAAGGCTCGACGCCTGGCTGTTCAGGCGAGGCAGACCCTTATGGGGATGGCTACATCTAAGCTCGCGAGCACTCCACCAACAGAAGCCCAGCGGGTGGCGGCACAACCTGTGTTGCCTGAAACCCCTGGCGGCCGCGAGACGCCTCCGGCGCAGACAAGATTGCCAGGTAGGGGTACTTCTGTAGGCACCTGCCTAAGTACAATAGTTTTCGCAGTGTGTCACCATGCAGGGCTATTACGCCACTGTGTAGTGGGGTTGGTCGGAGACAGTAGGGTATGAGATGCTGTTCTGGCAGTCTTATGCATGAGGGCCGCACGTCAGAGGCGCAAAGGTCCAGAGTTTGCTGTTAATTTTTTGTCAGATTTACTTTTCATGGGGGACGCCACTACAGCAATTGCGGAGGCACTCGGAAATCGCGGTATTCAAACACCCACGGCCGTGCTGCAGCCTTCATGTGCCAAGAGCAAACTCGAGGGTCTGAGTGCAACCAGCGAAGCGCAGGAAGTTCAGGGAGGCCATGATGCTTCTGCTGCGAGTGGAAGCGCCAATGTGCTTCGCAGCGTGAATCCTTCGCAGACAAAAGTAGCGCTTTCTGGGACAACAACTCCAAGGCACTCTCCACGAGGGGCGCCCCCGAGGCCGGCTTCTACCGGATTTCCATCGACGGAGTGTGTGGTGCCTCCTGTTCTACGAAAGCCAACAACACAGCAGCATACGTCAGGTAAGGAACAGATGCCAGTTCCTGCCTTAGCAGTCACCGGGTCGTCGGCGCAACAGCAGGTTTTGTTGCAACACCAGCTGCAACAACAGCTTGAAGATCAGCTTCAGCAGTTACAACAGCTCCAACAGCAGTTGTTGCAGCAGTCTTCCACCGCTCAAGAGACTCCAGGGAGGCAAGTTCCAACACTGGGATCTAGAGGTCCTCCGGTTCCCCCATACTTGAATTTAGGCGACAGCTCATCGTCAGCTCTGGCATTGGTGAGTTCGTTGTTAGGGGGTTCGGCTACGACATCTCTGCGACTGCCAGTTTTCAGTGATCCCCCGGGAGCCCCTCCTGCATTGCGCTGCCCAGAAGGACAGCAGCGACAGGCGGCTCCAAAAGCTGGAACCCTTGATTTGGCGAACGACCAACAAGTGGTCCTACATTGTGCGAAGGGTCCTCGCGGAGGCCCTGCGGTCCCCGCGACAGTTGGTGACACTGATGGGCTAGTCATTGCCCCCGTTGGCCCTGCAGAAACGCACGAAGATAACGGCGTACAATCTTGTTCAAAGCGGAAACAAAGATTATTGTGTGCGTCGAAACCCGGTAAACGCACATTGGCCTCATTGGCCAGGGAATTTCCATCCGTTGGGGGTGTTACCTACAACGTGAAAGGCGCATGCTGGGAGGTAGCGGTGAAAGGCCGTGATACTACGAAGATCTTTAGCACCAGAAAGTTTGGGGGCCTAGAGGCAGCTTATGGCGCAGCAGTCATGTGGAAACGCAAGGTAGACAGGGGTGAACAGGGTGATGATGATGTAGATGGGCCCGATGGACAAGAAGGTCCACCAGATGATGAATATCTGGATGAGGCCGAAGGGCTTGGAGGCAGCGCCTCCTCAGCAAAGTGGGAGGCCGGGTTAGAAGCAGACGAACCCTCGAGAAAGCGAGTTGTTTGTTCAAGGCCCGACCCTGTGGTGGGTTCTTTGGGAGTTGCCATGCAGCAGCAGCAATTTGGGCAGGCAGTGGTTTCGCCAACTATAAACATTACAGCAGTATTGGACAAGAATCATGGCGTTCAGCAGTTGTCCAGGGCACCCAGCGTTTGAGTTCATTTCCGAAGTAAAGCGCAATCTTGTGGTGTTCCTGGCACTTTGAAACGGCGCCGCCAGCCGTTAGACCGCTGCGGCGGCGGCACAACTTGTCGGACACACTAGAGGATAAGTGCTTGGGACTGCCGATTGGCAGTAAGCTAAGTAGAGCGCAGTTCTGTGCTCTCTCTGACGCTTTGAAACGACGCCTCCGGCCGCTAGACCGCTTTCGGATGCGGCACAACTTGTGAAACATACTAGATCTTGAGTGTTTCTTACTGCTGAGTGGCAGTCGGCTAGACAATGGTGTCGTTGCCCCGCAATAGCTAAGGTATGATGCAGGAGCCTTCTATGCCTCTAGCAATACAAGGTAGGGCTTGCAGCTTTTGGAGCGTTTCCAGTACTGCTAAACAACACACAACAATGCTCCCGGACGCTAGCAGTCCTTTCACAGGTCCTCCACCGGGTGTTCACAGCCGCACGCTGGGTTGATCCCACAACCATTAAAAAGCGGGCACGGCGGTGTGTTCGGCATTCACGACATATTTCCGAGAATATATTCAGCATTGATGGGTTCCCCAAAGGGGAGTAAAATGATAAGCCCCAACGACTGAACGACAACGGCAGTAAGTTGCGTATCGCCAGAGTCGGTAGGTGCAGACCTATTTCTGCAATTCACCAACAGCAAACAGGTCCCCCCAGAGACGGCACCTTCCCAATCCATGAAGGTTAAGCAGGTATGGCTTCGCTGTGTATGACAGTAGTAGAGTACGCAGGCACACCAACATGCGTATGAATTATATCTACATACAACTACTACAGCCGCTCCTGACGCTCAGCGTAAAGACAACCTCCGGAATATCCACAAAATCGTCCGCTGGCCGTAAGGTATGTAGCTTAAGGAATACCACATGTACGCAAGCCATTGCACACAAACAAAAAATACAATCACAAACCCGACCTTAAGGTAAATGCTCGACAACAAGGTTGCCACTAAACTGCCCACAAAAATGCAACTCGTCACCAGGCGTGATTTGTCAGCCATGTTCCGAAACTGCTGAATCGGACCAACAAGAAAAGAGGTCCCCGCCAATCCAATTATGTTCCCAATGGTGTACGTGACCGCAAATTTATTGTTTTTCCCCAGCAACATGTCATTGAATGAGCCTGAGTGAAAACACCAAACGCCTCCCGTAAAACAAAATGAGCCACGCCACCCCCCCCTCCCAC